GATTCTTCAGGACCCACCCTTATCAAGGAGCCACTGGCAGTGGATAGCTGCCGAGAGAAGAAAATAATTCTGTATTGAAAATATGGCCATCGGTAGGTTTCCATGTTCACATGGATGGCCCAACCCCTATGCACATTTGGGCAGTGCTAACTGGACTTAGTGGGCTATAAAAGAAAAAAAAACATGAAGTTAGGAGGGAGACATATTGGGGACATATCAGTTACTTTTCTGTCATTGTGGTATAATACCATGACTAAGGCAACTTACAGAAAACAAATAATTTCTTTTGGCTTAGAGGGTTAGAGTCCAGAATGGCCCAGCAAAGCCATCAGGCAGGCATGGTGGCTGGAGCAGAATGCTGACAGCTCACATCTTGAACCACAAACACAAAACAGAGATCCTGAACTGAAAGTGGTAAGCTTTAAGCTCTCAAATCCCACCCCCAGAGACATACCTCCGCCAGCAAGGCCATGCCTGTTAAACCTCCCCAAACCACTGCCATCCACTGGGGACCAAGTGTTCTAATGTCTGAGACTACGGGGAACATTTCTCATTCAAACCACCATGTGGGGCTATAGGAATAATTGGAAGGGGAAATATGACCATATTTCATTATCTGCCTGTATGAAATGCTCAAGAACAAAGAAAAATTAAAATTCATTAATTTATTGAAAATAGGGGTTGGGGGTGTGGCTTAATCTGGAGAGTGCTGGCCATGCCTGCACAAAACAGTCGTTTCTATCCCAGGACCACATAACCCTGGGTGTGGTGGCACACCCCTGTATCCACACTCTGGGAGGTGGGTGTGGGAGGACCAGAAGCTCAAGGTCATTCTCAGTTTCAAGGTCATTCTTAGTTACATAGAGAAGCCAGTCTAGACTACATGAGACCTAGCTTCAAAAATATAAATAATATAACATACCCAGGTAGACCTAAAACAAACATGTCTGACTAACTGGCTTTTATATCCTATACTCTTTCATCAAATCTGGGGGCGGGGGGAGTCTCTTGCCATAGAGTTCTACAATTAAAAATACTTAGCCATTGTGGAAGACAGTTCACCAGGTTCTTACAAAGCTAAACACACTCTGATCATTTGATCCAGCAATTTCTGGAAACCACTGGGTCATTACTCCTCTATCCAAAGGAGGTGAAAACATCACCACACAAAAATCCTACACAAGGAGAGGGCGGAGAGATGGCTCCATGGTTAAGAGCACTTGATGGCAGATCCAGATGATGGGGCATTAACTAACCAGAGCTATCAAGCCGGGAAAAGACAGAGAGAAAACTTCAGTGGGTATGACTAAGTGAAAGAAGCTGGGGGCTGGAGAGATGGCTCTGCGGTTAAGGGCACTGGCTGCCCTTCCAGAGGACCCAGGTTCAATTCCCAGCACCCACATGGCAGCTCACAACTGTCTGTAACTCCAGTTCCAGGGGACCCTCAGACAGACAGACAGACAGACAGGCAAAACATCAATGCACATAAAATAAAAATAAATAAATTATTTAAAAGAAAGAAAGAAAGAAAGAAAGAAAGAAAGAAAGAAAGAAAGAAAGAAAGAAAGAAAGAAGCCAAGCTAGAAAGACCACACCATGTAGGAGGCCAACTCTCCAACATCCTGGGAAACACAAAACTATGGGAACAGTACGTTGATCAGTGGTTGTCAAGGACTGAGAGGAGAGGAGAAATGGGGAACAAAGGGATCATCGGACAAGGAAAGTACTCTACACGCTACCATGAGGGCAGGCACGGGTCAACATACAAATGTCCAACCAACAGGGTTCACCAAGAGTGACCTCTAACGTGAAACACGGACTCTGGTGAGTATGGCGTGTCAATGATCTGTGGAACAAATGCACTGTTCACGTGGACCAGTGGGAGCTGATAAGCAGGGAGGCAAAGCATGATGGTGAGGAGTATGGGGAAAATCTTTGTACATGCCTCTGAATTTTGTTGTGAATTTAAGACCATTCTTAAAAATGCTTTATAGTTTTGTTTTTGTTTTTTTTTTTCAATGACTAAATAGTTAGCTCAGATTTCTTCTGCGTTTTGGATGTCTGATCACCAAATCATCCAAACTAAGGGAATAAACTTTCCACTGGAACCAGGTTGAGAGAATATTTGGGTATATTTGTGGCTTTTGAACTGTAACTTCAATGACGACAGATAACCAGTACCTGTGTGCTAAGCACTAGTCTAAAAACCATTTGGTCCCCACAACTGCCCTATAAGGTAGACACTGTGGTCATCGTCATTATGTGAGTAAGGGAACTGAGTCAGAGAGCAGTGGAGTTATTTTCTCAGAGTCATACAGCTAAAAGCTGGAGGAGGTGGAGTCTAGGCAGTCTGACTCACCGTCTGTGCTTAGCCGCAACCTAACACCCTGTGGGTGAGAACCAAGACCTCTGTGGCTCCACCCTCCTCCTGCTAGCACGAGTCATCACCTCTTTCCCAGAGAAACCATTTGCAGAGGTGCTACCACACCACAGGCTGATTCTCAGGAGAAACACTGGGAATCTAGCAGCGAAACAAATGTTCAGGAATTTTGTTCAGGAATCGTGTTTTTCTGGGCAAGCAAGGTGGCAGTAGGTAAAGCTTTGAGTTGGATCCCCCAGGTCTACATGGTGGAAGGAGAAAACGGACACCTGGGAGTTATCCTGTGATCTTCACATGCATATTGCAACACACGTATGCACACACACACACACACACACACACACACACACATGCACACACACACACATACACACACACACACACACAAATTTACATACATACATAAAAAGTTTTTCAAATGAAAATGCTCTTCTACAATAGCCAAGAGGAATATAAAATATGCATCTTTAAAGTTTTTAAATTGTTTCTTAGCAATTTTGGGTGGGTGTAGTTGTGGGTGTGTGGACACAGCATACCACGGCACACATGTGAACCACAGAGGACAACTTGCTTCTGTAAGTCATCTACTTCCAGATCATTAAAGTAAGACAGTAATGAGAAACACCGTGCTGAAATGAGATGTTGAAACAGCATAAGAGTTAACGTTCGATTCAGTTGAATTTCTTGGAATACCAGCAACATGCGTAGAATGCCACACTTTAACACCTAGTAGATTCTCAAGAGATGATGGGTGACATACTGCTCTCTGACCAAGCATATAATCTGAAGAAACGAAGACATAGATAGAAGGGACCCAGGGAACTTGTTCAAGTCATCTTCTATTTCCAGAAAGTTCTAAAGCATATTTATATTTTTAACGTTTTAGTTTAGAGGGCTAGAGAGATGGTTCCACCATTTAGAGCACTGGCTGCTCTTGCAGAGGACCCGGGTTCAATTCCTAGCACCCACAGGGCAGCTCACAACTGTCTGTAACTTCACTTCCAGGGGACTCAACACCCTTTTCTGGCCTCCACCAGAACCAGGCACACAAGTGATGCACAGACATACATGCAGACAAAACATTCATATACACAAAAAAATAAAGAAATACACTTTAGAAAGCATTAGTTTACAGGAAATCTGTGGAGAGATGGCCTATGCGTAAACACCAACTGTGTTCTGGGAATTAAACATCATCCGTCCTGCTTTGAAGGAGAAGTCTGTGATCTGTGCGGCCATGTTATTTCCAGAGCCAGCTCATCTCCAAAATAGTTCTAATAATATGTGCTTAACGTATTCTACAAAAGATAAGTTAATTAGTATTTATAAGCTACCTGGAGATAAATAGATTGTGTTAATAATACTTTGCTGTCTCATTAGTGCTCTTATCTTAAAAAAAAAAAAATCCCAGTCTGACAAACTATCACTCTGCCAACACACTGTTTTGGTTCTTTCATTCGTGGGAAACACTGGCAAAAAAAAAATGTAAGAAGTTGTCCAGGTCACAACAAAAACACTAATAATTCTCTGGCTACAATTTAGAAATCTTTTTTTTTCTCTTTTCTTTTTTTTATTTTATATAAGAGATTTTCTAGTCCTTTTACATATCAGCCACGGATTGCCCTGTCCTCCCTCCTCCCACCCCTCAGCCTTCCCCCCTCCAATGCACCCCCCATTCCCACCTCCTCCAAGGCAAGGTCTCCCCTGGGGAGTCAGCCCAGCCTGGTAGACTCAGCCAAGGCAGGTCCAATCCCCTCTTCCCTGCACCAAGGCTGAGCAAAGTGTCCCAGCATAGGCCCTAGGTTCCAAAAAGTCGGCTCATGCACCAAGGACAGTGCATAGGGGCCTCCTAAGCAATTCAAGCTAATCAACTGTCTCACTTATCCAGAGGACCTAGTCCAGTTCCATGGGGGCTCCTCAGCTGTTGGTTCACAGTTTATGTGTTAGAAATCTTATAGTACACTGATACGGTCTGAATTACAATTTTGTATCAATTATTTTTAAATATTCGTGCTTTTTAAATGCATGCATTCTAGTCCACTGAAGAGCTCTTGTCTTGCAGTGACAAACACCTGCTCTTCCTCAAAATTCAAGATCTACAACATTGAAAAATCTCATTGGGGAAAGAACTCATGTTTTCAAAACTAAACCTGTAATCAGTCAACCAATCAATTTGTACCCATCATAAGTGATAGCAACCTGGCCCTGTCTGACGTGTCCACCTTATTATAATAATACAAATAATTAACATTTATAAAGTGTCTGTGCCCTTCAGACTGTCTCATAGTCACTTATTATTGGAGATGTCCGCTGAAGCCTTTGACTGACACACTTGGATGTGATTACATTCCTTTGTTCCTGGAGAAGTGAAGCACAAAGAGACAGGTTAATTTCCCCAGGGCTTCATGGAAAAGAAGAAGGCATCTGTTTCCCCATGACGACCAGTCGCCTAGGTACCAGATTATGGATTTCCTAGGTAGTGATGGAAACAGCCCTCTCCTTCATGTATTTCGTTCCCCGCTGATTAACGTGAAGCTTGTGTCTCAAAGTCACAACGCTTTATGTACGCAGATGAAAACCAGCGAACCATGATGGAGTAGGATGGTGCATGCCTGGAATCACAGCATCTGGGGAGGCAAAGGCATCAGGAGAATCAGACAAACTTCAAGGTCAATTTGATCAAGGTCAGCTTATATCTAGTAAACTCCAGGCCAGGAGTCTCGGTAGTTAGCTGAATTGATGTTCTGCTCCTAGACCAAAAAAGAAAAAAAAAAAATCTCACGGGGCTCAGTGGCACGCGTCTACAATACCGGCACTCAGATGGCTGAGAGAGAAGAGTTGGAGTTCGAAGCCAGTCTTGGCTCAGTGAGACTCATCCGAAAAGTTACTCTCGAGCTTGTTACTCATTTTCAACGTGTTACAAACAAGTGCAAAGGGCCGGTGAAAGAACGAAAGTGTAAAGTGTTTGCTGTGCAGAGGACACGGGGTGATCCCCAGGGGCCGTGTGAAAAAGCCAGGGGCCTTGGGCTTCTGCTTGCCAGCCCAGCACTGGGGAGGCAGAGGCATGCAGAGCCTGGGGCTCCCTGGCCACCAAGCCTAGCCTGCTTCACAAGTTCCAAACCAATGAGACCCCCATCTCAAAAAACAAGCAAGGTGGATGACGGAACACCACCACCCTCTGGCCTCCACGCCTGTGTGCACATACATACACACACATGTGCATCAGCACACACACACACACACACACACACACACACACACACACACACACACAAACACCCATGAATATATACATACATGCACGTGCAAAAACGGATCAAGAATTCTTCCTGGCAAAAGATTACTAAATATGGAAAGCTTCTGTCTCGGTAAGAAGGAAAACAGTGAAGTTGGGACAATTGAGATATTCTAGTGCATTTCTACACCAAGGGGGGCAGATATTTCTAAAGTGAATTCTTTGTTACATGTGGGGGGGGGTCATCTCTGCTCTTTCCCAGGGGTCAAAAGGGTGTAAACTCTCATCTTGGTGACACTAACCAAGATGGTTTTCTCTCTGTGATCTACGGGGCTATGATTTAGTGTTACTAAGACTGCAAGGCTATGAATTAGGATCACTGTCCCTGGCACCTTTTTCATATATAAAAAATATCCTTGGGGCACTTTGCCACCTACTGGACACTATTAAAAATCACCCAATTATGAAAAACAGCAATTAGGATCCGACTAATGTTTTATTACAGATCGGCGTAGCTGAGATTGAGTCCTATAAAAGCTAGTGGGGTTGTCACCCCATGGAATATAGACCTTGGCTTTGCACCTCTCTGGGGAAGAAGGTCGCCGGGCTGTGCTGTCGCCATGTCTTTTCGATTTTCTGGGGGATCCAGGGTCTGCTCTCGAGCTGGATCTGTCAGGCTGTCCAGGGGAGGGGCGGGCTTTGTGGCTGGGAATGTGTGTGTTGGGCCCGGAGCAGAAAGCAGTTTTTCTTGCACCCTTGGGGGAATCTCTTCTGGAGGAGGCTTTGGCCATGGCAGTGAGGTGTCAGGAAGGGTTGGCGGCACTAGTTTCCTTAACAACGAGCCTGGACTCTTCTCTGGGAATGAGAAAGTGACCATGCAGAACCTCAATGACCGGCTGGCACTGTACCTGAACCACGTGAGTGCTCTGGAGGAGGCCAACACTGACCTGGAGAAGAAGATCGAGGGCTGGTATGAGAAATATGGGCCTGGTCGTGGCCGTGGACTTGACTATGACTACAGCAAGTATTTCTCAGTCATTGAGGATTTGAAAAGACAGGTAAGAAATGCAGATTCCCATCCTGTGGCTATAGGCATGGGGTGGGCATAATTCAAAGCAAAGGAAACTTAAAAAGTATTTAGCAGTGGGGTACGGTGGCACACACCAGTCATCAGAGCTACTAAAGAGGCTGTGACGGGGCATCACAAGGCTGAGGCTGGCCTGGGAACTTAGAGACCCTACCTCAATTAAAAAAAGAAAAAAGCTAGAAATATAATAGTAGAGCTTTGTGCAACATGCCTGTGACTCTCAATTCAGCCTCCAGTTATCATAAATAAGCTTAACCAATTAATTCATTTCAAATGTATTTATCAAGTGTATGGGGTGTGGAATTTGCCCACTTTTTGTTCCCAGAGTTAAGGGTGGTACCTAATAATTTTTTTAATGTAGAATCAAATAGTGAAAGAGAAATAGCTTCAAAATCAATATAAATTGAGCCAGGCCCGGTGATACAGTCCTGTAATCTCAGCCACACCAGAGGCTGAAGCAGAAGGAACATAAGTTCGAAGCCAGTCTGGGTAATTTAATGAGCTCCTATCTCAAAACAAAAAATTAAAACGAGAGCTGGACATAGTCCAATAACAGAGTGTTCAACCAGTGTGCAGTACCAAAAGGATGCTGCATTAATTTTTTGTTTTTGATTTTTAATTGATACTTTTTAATGAGTAACAATAAAATTATCTGTGGGGCTCTTTATTATCTAAATTTTATCCATGGTTATTTCTTGTTGTTATATAGCTCTACCATTGAGTTACACCCCAAAGCCAAGTTTCTTTGAATATCCAAATAAAGATACCAGTATAAACATCTGAGACAGAGTCACATTGATGTTGGAATGTCCTTTGATCTGTCCCATTCAGATCGTTTCTATGACCACCTGTAATGCCAACCTTATTCTTCAAAATGACAATGCCAGACTCACAGCTGATGACTTCAAGATGAAGTAGGTGAACATGATGTGATTATTATTAATAATGGCTAAAACTACAGCCACACTTAAAGAATATATCTCTTGTTTTTAAAACCTATTTGGGGTGTTTTATTTTATGTATATGGGTGCTTTGCATGTATGCCTATGCATGACTTGTGTGCTTAGTACCCTTGGAGGCCAGAAGAGAGCATCAGATCCACTGAAACCAGAGTTACAGATAGTTGTGAGCCGCCATATGGATGCTGGGAGTCAGATGTGGGTCCTCTGGAAGAGCAGTCAGTGATCTTAACCACTGAGCCACCTCTCCAGCGCCCCCCCCACACACAAACAAACTATTTTAATGAAACCACTCCAGATCAACAAAGAAGTAGAATTTAATAATCTTTATAATATTATTTATAATCTTTTATATATTCTTAAAAAATCTGACACTATTTTATTCTGACATGTTATTAGATGGCAAAGATCAACTGTAAAAATATAGCACCTCTAAAATGATGTAGGGGCTGGAGTGTGAGTAAAGGGTTTGCCACAAGATCATGAGGGTCTACCTAAGTTCAGACCCCCAGCATCCACATAAAAAGAAGGGAACAGCAACACACATGTGTAATTCCAGTGCTGGTATGATGGAGATGGAGAGGCTTGCTGGCCAGGCTTGCTGGCCAGCTAGTCTGGACAAATTGGTGAGCTCCAGGTTCAGTGAGGGACCCTGTCTCAAAAAAGAAGGTGGCAAGTTATTGGGAAAGATACCCAATATTGACCTCTGACTTCCACATGCACACCCTCGTGCAAACATACACACACACACACACACACACACACACACACACACACACACATACACACACAAATAGTACTTATAAACTAATAGGTATCTCAAACTATCTTACTAGTTTGCCATCGCAAGAAGCCTCAAAAATACATGCAGAATCAGAGCATGCTACCCCTCAGCATACAAAGTGTCTTTACAAGTTGTACCCACTGGTAATCACAATTCTAAAACACCTTCACACCCTTTAAGGTATGAAAATGAGCTTGCTCTGCACCAGAGTGTTGAGGCTGACACCAACGGTCCTTCGCAGAGTGTTGGACGAGCTGACGCTTTCTACAACCGACTTGGAAATACAGTGTGAGGCTCTGAGCGAGGAGCTGACATACCTCCAAAAGAACCATGAGGAGGTAAGGAAGCCCGCAGAACAGCCTCGCACACCATTTCCTTCTTCAAGTCCACTGTTCATCCCATACCAGCGTTTGGATGTCAATCAAAATCCTCCCCTGGGTAGTAATGATTATTACCCCTTTCCAGGAAATGGGAGTCCTGCAAAACGCATCAGGGGGGAACATCAATGTGGAGATGAACGCGGCCCCCGGCGTGGATCTAACGGCCATGTTGAACAACATGAGGGCGGAATACGAAGATCTGGCTGAGCAGAACCGAAGAGATGCAGAGGCCTGCTTTAAAGAGAAGGTACACCCGCGGCAGGTGCCACGGACGGGGCTCATTCGGTAAACAGTCAAGCGGGTTCCTAACCCTCCTGGCAATTCCTCTTCAGAGTGCAACGCTGCAGCAGCAGATTTCAGATGACGCAGGAGCGGCCTCAGCGGCCCGAAATGAGCTGATGGAGCTGAAACGCAGTCTGCAGACTCTGGAAATAGAACTTCAGTCCATCTCAGCGATGGTACGTAAGAACAGAACTGGAGGCGTGCGTCTGCCCACTTCCCACTACTGCATGCAGCAAAACACCCCAAGCAGGATTAGTTCGTAAAGAAAGAGAATTTATTTCCTCGTTGTTTTGGAAGCTGCAAACCCAAAGCAGCATGGTCCCAGCTATGGCAACGCCCTCCCTGGCTACATCACATCATGATGAGTGGCATCCTGACAGAAGTGTGAGCATTGTGAGGCACAAAGCCAGAGCACAGGGAGGAACAACACACAAGTGTTTTAAAATAACTCTCTCTGGAGAACTAACCAGGGTCTGACTAGAACTGAATCAACTTACTCCAAGAGCAGTGCCCTTGGTGACTTAACCTCCCACTAGCCCCACCTCTTAAAGGTCCCCACATATCTTAATATCATCACCATACTGGAACCAAGTTTCTGATACATAAATCCTTGAGGAGACATATTCAAACTACATCCAAAACCTAGCATTATATGTGCATAGGTAAGTGAATACATATATACAATGGATATTCTTAATATTTTTATTTTATGTCTATGAGAGTTTTGCCTGCATGTATGTATGCACATCATGTATGTGCCTGGTGCCTGTGGGGGTCAGAAGAGGATTCAAATCCCCTGGAGCTGGAGTTACAGATGGTTGAGAGTCACCATGAAGGTGCTGGGAACCCAGGTCCTCTGAGAGAGCAACAAGTGTTCTTGACTGCTAAGCTATCTCTCCAGCCCCTATAAGATGAATGTTTATAACACTTAATGTAATGTGTATATATATATATATATAATTAAATGATCACAATATACTATATTAAGTAATATGAATTCCATAATTAAATGACTCAATATGTTAAGTAACAGGAATTCCATCCATAAACGTTACCCTGGCACACTAATCCCAAATGTCAACATTATTTTCTCGATGAATCTCACCAGTTTGATTTTCAATTGAAAACATGTACACCTTGTACAAACACATCCTTCTAGTTTAAGAACGTTTCAGTGCAGACATGTCACCCCTCTCCTACCCATTACCCTGCTTTTCTTTCAGAAACAGTCATACGAGAGCTCATTGGCTGAGACCGAAGGGAATTACTACAGTCAACTTCAGCAAATCCAGGAGCAGATCCGGGTGCGGGAGGAGCAGCTGCAGCAGATCCGAACAGAGACGGAAGGCCAGAAGCTGGAGCATGAGCAGCTGCTGGGCATCAAAACGTGTTTAGAGAAGGAAATTGACATGTACTGCAACTTACTAGATGGAGAGGAACGGTGAGCTAACATGTGAAACAGCAAAATGTGTGGTAACTAGGTTTTTATATGTGCTTATTATAGATGTGTTACATATCACATAAGTGTATTATGTGCTTAAGACAAAAGTATAGCATATATTATATATTTAGAATATGTTCTTTTTATTTTATAATATATAGCATATTATATCCTAGAACTTCTTAAAATCATATATATATATATATATATATATATATATCTTCAATTATATACATTATTGCATCCAATGAAATGAAAACAGACAGAAATTTGACATCAAAACTTACTTTTGGTTTGAGTGTTGTGGTTGTTGTTGAAGATGATGATGATGATGATGATGATTTTGAGACAATTATTATGTAGTCCAGACCCTGAACTCTGTGATCTTCCCGTCTCAACCTCCTGAGTACTAGGAATATAGGCATGGGCCATACACATAGCCTAGAAATCAAAGATCTAAATATGGAAAAATGTTTATTTGTATGCATAATTATATGAAGGACAATTAAATACAAAATCCTTGGTCATTCCAGTATTCTGGTCCAAGGAAGAATTTGTTTTCTTTTATGATTATGTTTAAATACATTTTTTAACCCCACACACACTCTCTGCCAAGTTAAGAATGATAATTAAAAACATTTCACAAGCCGGGCGGTGGTGGCGCACGCCTTTAATCCCAGCACTCGGGAGGCAGAGCCAGGCGGATCTCTGTGAGTTCGAGGCCAGCCTGGGCTACCAAGTGAGTCCCAGGAAAGGCGCAAAGCTACACAGAGAAACCCTGTCTCGAAAAAACCAAAAAAAAAAAAAAAAAAAAAAAAAAAAAAAAAAAAAAAAAAAAAAAAAAAAAAAAAAAAAAAAAACATTTCACTGCAGCCGGGCGGCAGTGGCCAATGCCTTTAATCCCAGCACTCAGGGCCAGAGCCAGGCAGATCTCTATGAGTTTGAGGCCAGCCTGGTCTACAGAGCGAGATCCAGGACAGGCACCAAAACTATACAGAGAAACCCCATCTCGGGAAAAAAAAAAAAAAAAAGATTTCACTGTACTGGGGGTCTAGTGGTGAGCACAGCCACCTCCTGGAAGATGTCATTAGAGAGACATCAGAGATTGCTAGCCAAGACCCTAAAAGCCCCAGAATTGCGGTCCTGGGTGTGAATCACAGCCTAAGCAAATTTAAACACATGGTTAAACCTCTTTGAACCACAGTTACCTTTTTGGTAAAGTTGTGAATACAACAAAACCACACTCTAACCTGCTCTCAGCTGCAGCACCTCACCATGAAGTGCTTTGACAGAGGCTGACTCTAAAAATCCACTTGGTCATCTGTGGCTGTCACTAAACGCTCGCCCATTTCACACTGAATAAGCTGCCTTTTTCTGCAGGGGGAGCCCTCCTCCGACTGTTCTTTGTTTTTTGTTGGTGATGGTTTTTGTTTTCAATACATCCCAATCACAGTTTCCCCTCCCTCCACTCCTCCCAGTACCCCAGTACCTCTCCTCTCCCAAAGAGCCCCAACTCCTCCTCCGTTTCTCTTCAGAAAAGAATAGGCCTCTCAGGGATATCCACCAAACACAACAAAACAAGAAATAATAAGACTAGGCACAAACCTTCATATCAAGGCTGGGAGAGGCAACCCAGTAGGTGTTGGTGGTATAGTGCTAAACATAGCTGCCGTCCAGACTATCCTAAGGAGAAGCCAGCAGTGATGGCTCCCTCCTCAGAATATGGAGACCATTCATTCTTCACTTATCTTACTGTACCTTTTAGGCAATGTTAAAAACACGACTTTTTTGCAGGGCGATGGTGGCGCACGCCTTTAATCCCAGAACTGGGGAGGGAGAGGCAGGCAGATCTCTGAGTGTGAGGCCAGCCTGGTCTAGAGTGAGTCACAGGACAGGTGGGGCTACACAAAGAAACCCTGTCTTGAAAAAAGCAAAACATAAAAATAAAACATAACTTTTTATGTGAATGTGTTGTGTTTCTAACACTACAAACTACTGTGTTTCTTAGATCTCTAATTTTTTTTATTTTTATTTTTTGGTTTTTTGAGACAGGATTTCCTCTGTGTAGTTTTGGTGCCTGTCCTGGAACTTGCTCTGTAGACCAGGCTGGCCTTGAACTCACAGAGATCTGCCTGCCTCTGCTTCCCGAGTGCTGGGATTAAAGGTGTGCCACCACCAAACCCACCTACGTCTCTATTTTCTACAGCACGTAGTCCAGCTCCTTCAACAAGCAGGCACTGAACTGTTGAATAGAAAGTCAGGAGAAGAACTTGGGATGCCCATGTTGCTGGATGGAAGAGACAATATCTGGCCATAAACAGCCATTTAATTTCACTAGGCTGAAGTCACAAAAAGCTTATTAACATCCCTTTAAAATAGAACAACTTGAAACTTACTGAAACTAGAACTCCAAAATTGTTATTTCTGAAGCTGGAGAGATGGCTCAGCAGTTAAAAGAGTTTAATTCCCAGCACTCATGTCCGATGGCTCACAAGCCCCTGTAACTCCAGCTCCAGGGGTTCTGGTGCCCTCTTCTGGCCTCCACAGGCACCTGCATATGTGTGGATATACACACATGCACATAAATAAAACTAAAAGTAATTTTTAAAAAATATTATTTCCAATTCACAGTCATTTATGAGCTTCTAATTGAAAGAAAAAGATAATAATCTACTCTTTTTTCCACAGAAGAAGTGAGTCCACGGGGGTACAAACCAATGGATGGCAAGCCTGTGAATGAAGCCAATGGTATGGAGTTTAGTTAATATAATTGTGTGTGTGTGTGTGTGTGTGTGTGTGTGTGTGTGTGTGTGTGTATGCATGCGTGTGTGTGTATGTGTGTGTGCCTGCTGTGCCTGTGTACATTTGTTTGTGTGTGTCCGCTGTGTGTGTTATGTGTGTGTGCACATGTGTGTGTGCCTGCTGTGCATGTATATACTTGTTTGTATGTGTCTGCTGTGTGTGCATGTGTGTGTGCCTGCTGTGCGTGTGTACATGTGTTTGTGTGTGTCTGCTGTGTGTGCATGTGTGTGTGCCTGCTGTGCATGTGTCCACGTGTTTGTGTGTGTCCGTTGTGTGTGTGTGTCCGCTGTGTCTGTGGAGGACAAAGAGCAACCTCAGGCGCCTTTCTCAATTGCTCTCCACTGTTCTTTTGAGACAGCGTGTCTTGACTGTCAGGAACTTGTCAGTTTGGCCAGGCTGGCCGGCCCGTGAGTGCCCATGGATCCTCCTGTCTCTGCTCCCCAGTGGTGGGTTTACAAGCATGCACACAGCCCCGGCTTTTGCACATACCTGCTAGAGACTGGACTCAGTCCCTCACACTTCCACAGCAAGAGCATCACTCACTGAGCCATCTCCACAGCCCTGAGTGATTCTTTCAAACCCCTTCAGCATTATCAAATGAGCTACTTATTTGTTAACCAAAAATTTATTTTAAGTTTAGATCTAATGAATGAATCAGTGAAGTCATTGTGACTTTATCTATTTATTTATTTGTCTATTTATTTTTACCTAAAGTTTTGCTATGTAGCTCAAAATGGCCTGGAACTCATAGTTATTTTGTTTGTTTGTTTGTTTGTTTGTTTGTTTGTTTGTTTGTTTCTTGTCTTGGCCTATCACATGCTAGGATTACAGATCTGTACCACCATACCCACCTGACAATTTTTATGTTATTTTATATCTCCGTAGTACAGGTATAATCAAATTATAAAATGACTGTTATAAAGAATAAGTCCTCCAATATCTTTATGCCTCGAATGCATTATTTTTCAGTTTTAATAAAAGAGCTTGTTTTAAGTCACTAAACTAGGGCAAGCTGGTATTTAAAGAAGGCAATAGCCTGGCCTGGTGATTCAGGCCTCTAATCCTGAGTAGTTGGGAGACTACAGCAGGAGGCTTGCAAACTCTAGACTTGTCTGGGTCACAATGTGAGCTGGAAACCAGTTTGAGGGATTTGATGAGACTCTGTCTCAATATAAAGAGGGAATGCGGGCTGGACATACAGGTGAGAATTGAGAGCTGGACATACAGGTGAGAATTGGAGCCCTGGTCTAGTAGGTTTGGAGTCCCTGGGCTAAAAGGGAAATGAGGAGAGAAGGGGGAGGGAGGGAGGGAGGGAGGGAGGGAGGGAGGGAGGGAGGGAGGGAGGGAGAAGAGGGCATTGACTGTTCCAGACCTGATGTTCAGACTGTTTTAATACATACTTCGTTTGTGCTTTCAAACACCCGTTGCAGAGGGAGAGAGAGAGAGAGAGAGAGAGAGAGAGAGAGATCAACCAATCAGTTCTGGGTTTTGTTAAGCACTGACTTTAAACATAGCATTGTATCTCAATTTTCCTCAAACTTGCAAAAACCAGTTTTTAAAAACAGACCTGCCTTGACTAAATGCCTTTCCCCGTTAAGATTGACCCCTGAACTTCCCCTGACTTCCCTGTAGACTCAACGGAAGAGACGTTTGTCAGAACAATGGTCGAAGAGCTAGACCAACTTGGCAACCTCCTTTCCCTGAGAGTGCACTCCGTAGAAGAAAAATCTTCTAAAATCAGCAACATCACCATGGAGCAGCGGGTGCCTTCCAAAACCCCGTGATGATGGAAAGATCATTCATAAAACACGAAGCTCCCTCTGCAGAATTCCTCTGGTCAAGTAACCCAAGAAAATTATCCATGCCTGCTCTTAAAGCTCAAAGGACTAGACTCCTTTTCTTCCTCTTCTCTTACTGTCATGGGCAACACAGATGGAGGTACAGGGACCCTTCTTTGACAGAGAAAAGAAATCCTTGGAGAGCCAATATGAAGCAGAGCTGGGGGGTTACCAAAAGACATTTTTAGCTTGGATCTGAAGCATGGGTCCATAGAGAGGTGTTCAGGGCAGGGATGAGATGTACCCAAGCACCAGTGTGGGCTTCTCCCAAGACAGTCACAGCTGTTGTTGTTGTTGTTGTTGTTGTTGTTTAGGTTTTTGAGTCAGGGTTTCTCTGTGTGACAGCTTTGGCTGTCCTGGAACTTTGTAGACCAGGCTGGCCCTGAACTCACAGAGATCTGCCTGCCCTCTGCCTCCCCTCTCAAGTGCCGGGATTATAGGCGTGCACCATTACCATCCAGCAAACACTTAGGTGTCTTTATCACAGGTATATACAGGATTCTGGTTCCCCTCAAGTTATATTTCTAAAGGTTACAAGAAACTCCCCCTCTCGTTTCTTTAACATTGCTCAAAGGGTGCAGCCTATAACGAGGTTAAGACTTAAAAGACTTCCCTTCTGTAAACAAGGTTGGAAGATGGATTGATGGAGCTGTTGTTTAGATTTAGGAGTGGGGAAAGAGTGAAGGTGATATATCGTGCTGGTCCTAAGTAAGTATGGTTTAGCTTGACAAGACGTCTTTGGGGGAAGTCGTGTACTGTCTCTCAGCCATTTGGGCTTCCCCAGAGATTTCTGAAGTTTCTGGCCTTTCTCAGGAGAAAAGGTGGGTCATTCTCTGGAAACAAAAGCATGTTTTTTTTCATCCTTCCTGTGTTACCATAATGTTCCTATCTGTCTACCCTCCCCAATGCTTCAGTAAACCTTTCCAAGAAATGAGACAATCTTGGTAGTTTTTGTTTTTATTTTGTGAACCTTTGGCCATCTCATGAAGAGTTCTTTGTTGCAATTTTTTTTCTGAGACAGATTTCTATGTCTAGCTCTGGCTGTCCTGGAACTCACTTTGTAGACCAGGCAGGCCTCGAACTCACAGAGATCCACCTGCCTCTGCCTCCCTGAGTGCTGGGATCAAAGGCATGCACCACTACTGCTCAGCAAAAATTATTTTTATATATCTGCTTCTTTTTAATTTCCACAGCTGTTCCCCACACGACCATGCCAAGGGTGAAGTAAGAAAACACGGTGCTTCATCTCACAGTCACATTTGCCTCCATAACAGATGAAAGCAGAAAGGGCACTAGCCGTGACCTCAGGTCCCAAATCCCAGTTAACTGTGCAATGACCTGTTTGGCCTTCTATGGGTGTAGAAGTTAATATACCCCTTGATCACTAGGGTTTGTTCACTCTTCTGATGCTTAGATGATCGGGGAATGTTTTCCAGTCGGAACCTGGTTAGCTCTTTTTCCACTTTGTAATGCCTACATCTTTTTCCCCAACCCCATGGCGTTGACTAAGCAAACCTAGAACTGGCCCACTCAAGCAGGACAGGGCTTCTCAATCTTACTGACATCCTCTGCATACAAGACCATGCCTGACACTGTGCAGTGGACAACTATTAACAAAGAAACTCACCACTCATCAGAGGGCAGAGAATAACCATCCATGCCGTGCAGTGCTCGGCCATAAATGGAACATCTGTATCACATCCCCTGACTCAAAGTTCAGGGAACATCTCAGAAAAGGAAGAAAGACTCTAAGAGCCAAAAGTCATGGAGGACCAGACTGAAACAGTGTCTTTTGGACACGACAGGACCACTACACTCACGAATTCACAAATTCATGGCAGCTGTGGTTGCCCACGCGAGATGAGCACGGCATCAGGCCAGCCAAGAAGCAGGAATGAAGCAGGGAGGGGCTCCCAAGCCCCATCCCTAGCTGAGGCACTGCTGAGCAGATGGCTTCCAGGAGTAAGAGAGTCAGTTTTCTTTTAGGGGTGCGACCCCTACTAGGTAGACCATTCTCCAGTGGGTGTCTCCACACCCATCTGTATATGAACAAATTGGATTCAGTGGGTTATAAAAATGGTGGGGGAAGATGAAGTTGGGAAGGGGCTGGAACATGGATCTGGGATGAGTCATGGGAAGACGAGAGGGTGAATGTGATCAAAATACAGTGAGTGCATGTAATAAATGCACAAAGAATTAAAAGTAATGAAAATAATAATAAAAATAATATTGTGCCTGAAAATCTGATACAACTTTCATTTGGGGAAGTGCAGCTAGGGTTGAAAAAACACTAGAACATTCAGTTAAAGAAGGTTTTTCTGCTTGTGGCCAAATAAGGCAGGCAGCCAATGCAGTAATCTGGTTCTCCAACATGCATGATGGGCATCACTGATAAGTTTTAGGCCTCCTGAAGGCCTCTCCGCCATAGCAACAAACCAAATCAGACCAAATCAGGAAAAGAACAGGTTTAATGGGTAAAGTGCTCCTGGGCGATTACCTGCCCAGCAGAGAGGAGAAGGGGACAAGACCGGAAGAACCACAAGTCTGTTTTCTGGGATACCGTTTATATATCCCCTGTGGGAGTGGTCTTGAGCCTCTCTGGGGGAGGAGCTGTGTTTGGCAGGCTCTGAAGGGGTGGATTTGGGGAGGAACTGTGTGAGGTGGAGCTCCCACCCAAACATTCCAGACTCTTTGGGTATAGGGATGCCAGGGTGCCAGGGGTTGAGGTGGAGCTCCCATCCAAACAATCACTTCAGGACTTTAACAAACCGGAGTAGAGACAACATGGAATTCAGAACAGAAGCACTCACTTCTCTGAGGGTGCATCTCTGTCTTGGTTGCAGTTTTTTCCAACTCCCATGTAATGTGATTGACTCCAATGCAGAGATAGTTTCTTAAGACATTGACATAGCTGGTTGTTCCCTTGGCAGGGTCTTTTGTCCTGAATGACCCCAATTGTGATGCTCAAAGTTATTCATTGTAGAGTGGGAGTTAGGTTCAGTCAGGTTAGAAGTGCTACTCAGTTCAGAACTACAGCGGCAATAGCTCATGTTTATCAGGTGGGCTTAAATATACTTTAAACACATTAACCAATCGAATATTTCAAAACTACAAGTTCCATGTTTCATCTTTAGTTTATATATGAGAAAACAGCTGTTCAAAGAGACGAAGGAATTTCCCAAAGCCTGCACAGTTGTTATATAGTGGGACCTAGATTCAAATCCAAATCTCCTCCTCACCCATGGTGAGCAGAGTCCTTGCATTTATCTCTAGAGGGGCAGAACTGATAGGATGAGTATATATCCAAAGAGAATGTATTAATTGTCTTACACAATACAGTCGGGGTAGTCCAGCTGTGGCAATGTTCACACTGAAGAACTCGGCAGCTACTTGGTGCGAGAGGCTAGCTACCTCAGTAGTCCTAATCTGCTGGGGAAGACTGAGGACTCCTGGAGAGCCGCTGGTCTTCAATCCATGTGGGAAGGCCAAAGCAACTGGGTTAAGATATCAGCAAATACCATGACAGCAGGGGAGCGAGAGCTATAAGAGCAACAGGGGAGACGCACTGCTCAGCAAGAGACACACTGGTCAGCAAGAGACACACTGGAGAGACGCACTGGTCAGCAAGAGACACACTGGAGAGACGCACTGGTCAGCAAGAGACACACTGGTCAGCAAGAGACACACTGGAGAGACGCACCGGTCAGCAAGAGACACACTGGAGAGACGCACCGATCAGCAAGAGACACACTGGAGAGACACACCGGTCAGCAAGAGACACACTGGAGAGACGCACCGCTCAGCAAGAGACACACTGGAGAGACGCACCGGTCAGCAAGAGACACACTGGAGAGACGCACCGCTCAGCAAGAGACACACTGGAGAGACGCACCGGTCAGCAAGAGACACACTGGAGAGACGCACCGCTCAGCAAGAGACACACTGGAGAGACGCACCGGTCAGCAAGAGACACACTGGAGAGACGCACCGCTCAGCAAGAGACACACTGGAGAGACGCACCGCTCAGCAAGAGACACACTGGAGAGACGCACCGGTCAGCAAGAGACACACTGGAGAGACGCACCGGTCAGCAAGAGACACACTGGAGAGACGCACCGCTCAGCAAGAGACACACTGGAGAGACGCACCGCTCAGCAAGAGACACACTGGAGAGACGCACCGCTCAGCAAGAGACACACTGGAGAGACGCACCGCTCAGCAAGAGACACACTGGAGAGACGCACCGCTCAGCAAGAGACACACTGGAGAGACGCACCGCTCAGCAAGAGACACACTGGAGAGACGCACCGGTCAGCAAGAGACACACTGGAGAGACGCACCGCTCAGCAAGAGACACACTGGAGAGACGCACCGCTCAGCAAGAGACACACTGGAGAGACGCACCGCTCAGCAAGAGACACACTGGAGAGATGCACCGGTCAGCAAGAGACACACTGGAGAGACGCACCGCTCAGCAAGAGACACACTGGAGAGACGCACCGGTCAGCAAGAGACACACTGGAGAGACGCACCGCTCAGCAAGAGACACACTGGAGAGACGCACCGCTCAGCAAGAGACACACTGGAGAGACGCACCGGTCAGCAAGAGACACACTGGAGAGACGCACCGGTCAGCAAGAGACACACTGGAGAGACGCACCGGTCAGCAAGAGACACACTGGAGAGACGCACCGCTCAGCAAGAGACACACTGGAGAGACGCACCGCTCAGCAAGAGACACACTGGAGAGACGCACCGCTCAGCAAGAGACACACTGGAGAGACGCACCGCTCAGCAAGAGACACACTGGAGAGACGCACCGCTCAGCAAGAGACACACTGGAGAGACGCACCGCTCAGCAAGAGACACACTGGAGAGACGCACCGATCAGCAAGAGACACACTGGAGAGACGCACCGCTCAGCAAGAGACACACTGGAGAGACGCACCGGTCAGCAAGAGACACACTGGAGAGACGCACCGCTCAGCAAGAGACACACTGGAGAGACGCACCGCTCAGCAAGAGACACACTGGAGAGACGCACCGCTCAGCAAGAGACACACTGGAGAGACGCACCGCTCAGCAAGAGACACACTGGAGAGACGCACCGCTCAGCAAGAGACACACTGGAGAGACGCACCGCTCAGCAAGAGACACACTGGAGAGACGCACCGCTCAGCAAGAGACACACTGGAGAGACGCACCGCTCAGCAAGAGACACACTGGAGAGACGCACCGGTCAGCAAGAGACACACTGGAGAGACGCACCGCTCAGCAAGAGACACACTGGAGAGACGCACCGGTCAGCAAGAGACACACTGGAGAGACGCACCGGTCAGCAAGAGACACACTGGAGAGACGCACCGGTCAGCAAGAGACACACTGGAGAGACGCACCGCTCAGCAAGAGACACACTGGAGAGACGCACCGCTCAGCAAGAGACACACTGGAGAGACGCACCGCTCAGCAAGAGACACACTGGAGAGACGCACCGCTCAGCAAGAGACACACTGGAGAGACGCACCGCTCAGCAAGAGACACACTGGAGAGACGCACCGCTCAGCAAGAGACACACTGGAGAGACGCACCGATCAGCAAGAGACACACTGGTCAGCAAGAGACACACTGGAGAGACGCACCGGTCAGCAAGAGACACACTGGAGAGACGCACCGATCAGCAAGAGACACACTGGAGAGACACACCGGTCAGCAAGAGACACACTGGAGAGACGCACCGCTCAGCAAGAGACACACTGGAGAGACGCACCGGTCAGCAAGAGACACACTGGAGAGACGCACCGCTCAGCAAGAGACACACTGGAGAGACGCACCGGTCAGCAAGAGACACACTGGAGAGACGCACCGCTCAGCAAGAGACACACTGGAGAGACGCACCGGTCAGCAAGAGACACACTGGAGAGACGCACCGCTCAGCAAGAGACACACTGGAGAGACGCACCGCTCAGCAAGAGACACACTGGAGAGACGCACCGGTCAGCAAGAGACACACTGGAGAGACGCACCGGTCAGCAAGAGACACACTGGAGAGACGCACCGCTCAGCAAGAGACACACTGGAGAGACGCACCGCTCAGCAAGAGACACACTGGAGAGACGCACCGCTCAGCAAGAGACACACTGGAGAGACGCACCGCTCAGCAAGAGACACACTGGAGAGACGCACCGCTCAGCAAGAGACACACTGGAGAGACGCACCGCTCAGCAAGAGACACACTGGAGAGACGCACCGGTCAGCAAGAGACACACTGGAGAGACGCACCGCTCAGCAAGAGACACACTGGAGAGACGCACCGCTCAGCAAGAGACACACTGGAGAGACGCACCGCTCAGCAAGAGACACACTGGAGAGATGCACCGGTCAGCAAGAGACACACTGGAGAGACGCACCGCTCAGCAAGAGACACACTGGAGAGACGCACCGGTCAGCAAGAGACACACTGGAGAGACGCACCGCTCAGCAAGAGACACACTGGAGAGACGCACCGCTCAGCAAGAGACACACTGGAGAGACGCACCGGTCAGCAAGAGACACACTGGAGAGACGCACCGGTCAGCAAGAGACACACTGGAGAGACGCACCGGTCAGCAAGAGACACACTGGAGAGACGCACCGCTCAGCAAGAGACACACTGGAGAGACGCACCGCTCAGCAAGAGACACACTGGAGAGACGCACCGCTCAGCAAGAGACACACTGGAGAGACGCACCGCTCAGCAAGAGACACACTGGAGAGACGCACCGCTCAGCAAGAGACACACTGGAGAGACGCACCGGTCAGCAAGAGACACACTGGAGAGACGCACCGCTCAGCAAGAGACACACTGGAGAGACGCACCGCTCAGCAAGAGACACACTGGAGAGACGCACCGGTCAGCAAGAGACACACTGGAGAGACGCACCGCTCAGCAAGAGACACACTGGAGAGACGCACCGCTCAGCAAGAGACACACTGGAGAGACGCACCGCTCAGCAAGAGACACACTGGAGAGACGCACCGCTCAGCAAGAGACACACTGGAGAGACGCACCGCTCAGCAAGAGACACACTGGAGAGACGCACCGCTCAGCAAGAGACACACTGGAGAGACGCACCGCTCAGCAAGAGACACACTGGAGAGA